TATTAGTTAACGGGAGCTTTTCTCCACTATCAGCTTAAGGGGTGTCAAAGCCCCTACAAAAACATTTTTGTCATTGCTGTTGATAAACAAGAAAATAAAAGCAAATTCATGCTGGCTTAGGGTCATGAAAACTACCAATTTAATTGTAAGCTTCTCCAGGCAAACTTAATCTTTTGTTTCTATGGTGTTTGCTTCTAGGCCCTGGTACAGACCTCAGCCCCACAGCAAGTGCTCAATAAATGCTTATTGACAGGCTAGTATAGTAACCATGGGTGGTTATCAAAGGAAAAAACCAGCTGGGTAGGAATTGCGATTATGCTTGGCCTCCTGAGAGACTTATACCTACAAAGAAGATTTAAAAATCAATAACTGAAAACTTTAAGAAGTACTTGAGTCTAAAAAATGTTTAAAGCAGTTACCTAAATAAGGTTATTTAATGTAACAGATTATATACTTAGAGTGATCTGAGCGATCATTGATAACACATGGCTTGAATTTGCTGCTGACTGAAAAGTATATTAACTAGATTAGAAGGCAACATATATTCCAATTAGATTAAATATATTCTATTCTTAACATACAAACATTAATTGTACTCCCTATTAAATATTTTGAAATTTCCATCATCATACTACTTTGCATATTTTTTTCTAATTAAGTGGTTAGCACAGATAAAATCTTTATAGACATCTAATTGAAAACAGTATCACAACTTTTCAAACCATAATTAAGAAATATATCTTGAATCATATGTTTAGTTACTTTCTATAGTGATTATATGGATTTAAAAGAATAATTAAAATGTGAAGTGAAAAAACTTGCAAAATTTGGAGTACGCAGGTATTGATTTGTTTTTATTAGTATACCTATAATACTTGTTCACATTGACAAACCAATAAAAAAATTGTTTTTCTGATGAATGGCTTGATTTTTTTCCTGACATAATTTTACTACTTATTCTAACAGAAAACATATGGGGAGAAAAGAACCTGAAATAAAAGCACTCAAATTTATTTGCTTTGGCCTAGGTCACGTTTTTACTTTTCAGTCACTAAAATCAGGTGCAATGGTAAATCAGATGCGAGCCTAAAAATTTCAACTAGTGACCTTGTCTGCAGGTTATTTGAAACTGGGATTCAACATTAGGACTTCCAAGGCCAGCCTCTGCTCAGAAGGATGACTGGATAAGGAGACAACCAGCAAAGCTTAAGTAGCTGGATATTCCAGTTCCAAATCCATGGCCATCTGACAACTTGACCCTCCAGTAAACTCTCTCTCTTGAGCCCTATATACCTGAAATCCAAATGATGGACATGGTCCTGGTGACCTGGGCAAAGGGGACCCAGCTTCACCTGGGCTTGACACTGCTCCAAAATGCTTGAGGGGGTTTCTGGGGAAAATGAGAATAAATATGGCTCTTGAATATCCCTTCAGAGTAGTCCTGAGGATGGCTGAGAGGACCAGCCCTGTGTACTCCCTCACCAATCAATCATTGGACCTGGGCTGCCTAGGAAGGGGGAGCGTGACCTCTGGCAAGGCAGCCTTGTGCAGCTGAGGCAATCCCTGCAGGGCCTGAGAGCTCAAGACTGTCTGTTGACCAGGACTCCTAGCTGCTGGGCCAAATCCTTCATTAAACAGGGTCTGGGTGGGACATCTCCATGTCTACCAAAAGGGCCAGATAAGGTAGTGGNATTAAACAGGGTCTGGGTGGGACATCTCCATGTCTACCAAAAGGGCCAGATAAGGTAGTGGCTAAAGAAACTCAAGACTGGCCTGAGTTTAAATGTTGGTCTCGCCATTTATTAGTTGTATTACTTTAAACTAGTTATTTAACTTTCTGAGGGCTGCCAGGTTAAGAATTGGGTGGCAGTGATGGACTTTTTTGGTCAAGAGCAATGTATTGGGAGTAGGTTAGGGCAGCAGAAAATCAAAAGGATGGAGCTGTGGTCAGATAGCAGCAGATTTTTTTTTTTTTTTTCCTTTTTTTGTCTTTTTTGCTGACCGGTAATGGGATCGCAACCTTCGGTGTCGCGCCCGTACCGGGGACCGGCAAAGGATCGCAACCCTCGGTGTTGCATCTGCACCGCGCTCAGCCAGTGAGCGGGAACCGGTCTCCACATGGGATCTGAACCCTCCGCAGGAGCGCCACCGCGCTCCCAAGCGGCACACTCTCCAGTGCGCCACCAGGCCGGCCCATGCAGCAGATTTTTATAGCCCTTGGTGCCCTGCTATTTTCCTTTGCTTCACCCAGCTCTATTAGCCCAACCACCCATCATCTCCATGCCTACAGTCAGGTTTCTGAGCAAGAAAGAGAAAATTCCACAGTCATGTGCATTGGCATCCACCTTTCTCTGTCCCCTCACCTGGTGCATGTTTCTCATAAGCATCCCCACCCTTTCCTCACAATGACATTTCAAAATCTTCATCACTTTTTCCATTGATGACCCTGCCCCTGTCCCTACAAACATATCCATGTACACACAGACATAAAACTTTCTTATATTAAGTAGGGCCATACTGGGAGCATTGTATGCCTTACTACTCAGTTTTAGAAACCTTTTAAATGGAATCTTTCAATGGAAGCTTTCGATAGATTCTTGGGACTACCATAGCCCTGCTAAATTAGAATCTAGGAGTGAGATCCAGGGACCCATACAGTCTGATGATTCACAAGATTTTGGAACTACTGCTCCAGGTAGTCCCTTCCATTCCCATGATATAACTTCCAGTATGTTCGTGACTCCCAAATTTATATTTCTAACTCAGATCTCTCCTATTTTTCAGATCCAAACATTTAAACATTAATTTTCTTAGTGTTTCTCTCTGGATGTCCTACAGACATAATGTAGCATGACCAGACTTCTGTAAAACAAACACACATGCACATTCATGCACGCTAGAGCAAAGGCACCTAATACTCAGGATGTGATCCACATGATAACATCTGTAGAAATACAATCAAGCTGTAGCTTACATGGGAGGAGATTGAAGGAAGCTATCAAAGATCAGCTTGCAACCAATGTTCCCAGGAAAAAAAGTCTTAATATAAAATTTCAGGAGATGATGGGAAAATTCCACTAACCACTCCTCCAATTTGAAGCTGGAGTGAGAACCAGCTGTAGGATGGAGTGCAGCACCTCCCTTGGAATCC